ACCATATAAATGTCACGTTCATTTCATCAGAAAGTTACATCTAGCCATGATCTGATGCCAAGCATCCATACATTTGAATTTCATGTCATGTTACATAAACTGTCTAAAAACAAAACACAGGGAATTTCAATTTCATGCAATAGCATGTATTCAGTGGAAAGTGGTACAATCTGAAAGTCTGATAGAGTTGCTTTGAGCAGACTCTCTTCCCTTATTCCACTGTTATCGTATAATATGACCAATGTAGTTAACAGAACTGAAGCTCAAAAAACCCCAGTCACACATCCTGTCATCTTCCATGTTCAGAGAAAAAAAGCATGTTACTGGCACTGAAGTTCACTTGTCAGCTACAGCTCTGAGGAAGTGCTCACAGGTTGCTTTTGCACACTGACTTCCATGTTATTAATCAGGGCTATTCAGAGGTCTGACAGAACCCATATGGTACCTGATAGGGGACACCATGATACTCTCAAATGAATGATGCAGAAAACAGACCTAAGCAAGGGGACAGATACAGGAGAACATAATATAGAGAAAAATGTGAAGGGACTGGTTCATCAATGCAAAGGAAAATTTCCTAGTCCATCATTTTCTACCAAAAAAAGATTTTATTGCCAGTGACAGGAACTAGCTGTAGAAGAAGCTGTTTGCTACTAAGTTTTCAAATTCTTTATTTCCCTTGGCAAATATGAGGGATTTTTTTTCGAACTAAAATACTTCCTAACAATTGTTACTGCTAATAAATTTATTGTTGGCTGTGGCATTGTTTATTTTTTTCTTATAATAGGTGCTGTACTGGTTCAAGAACTACAGGATAAAGTCAAAAGTCTTGGTAAGTCAACTTTACACTCATGGGCATACACTGCATTAGTAACAGTTTACAGGTCTGACTCTGCTAATAAGGTAAAACACAAAAAGAAATAAAGGTTAAAGTAGAAATCCATCACATGTTGGCAACCTACATGAACTATTTAAGTAATTAATTATGCAAATCTATGATTCTCCAAAGTTTTAAAACATTAATTAGAATTTTTAGTGTTTTTCTGTAAACTGAAGCTGTCCCATAACCAGTGAAAACTTGGTGCCTTTTTAATTTTGCCCTTTCCTTTAAAACTCTTGCCCACATTCTGCTTCTTGTAGAGAAGCTTTTGCATCTACTTTTCAGAGCTCTGTCTGCTGACAGACTTCAGAACAAGCTATGTCAACAAGAAACACCCAATCTTTACAGTCAAACCTGCAAACCAATACTTCCCACTTTCCCTTGCAAAGAACCTTCACACAATCCAAAAAACCTCTCAGAAATAAAAAGTCACTTTCCACAAGGCTCATTTTCCCAGAAACCAGGATCACAAAACTAGAGCTTCACACTAAGCCACTGCAGATAGTGACACAGTGGTGTTTTTGTTTATCCAACATAAAGGTTCATTTTCCATATAGGTGACAATGAATCTGATAGGTCTTTAACTTGGAGTTTGAAATACAGAACTTATATGAATCAGATACTGGATTTGCAACCCCAAATCCATCACAAAATCAGAAAATTTCCATGCTTTAGTATGTAAAACTATGTACATCATTAAAATGATGTACGTATCCACAGCTTTCTAAGGCAAACTAAGTAGAAGCCTATTACTTTCCTCCCTTTTATAGTGCTTGTTAAGTGAAAATTCATTTTTTTCACATTTATTAGAGCACCTCTGAACTTTCAGTTCAGGCCCCTTTCATCTCACAGTACACCAACATTCTGCCATTTGTGCTTACAGTATAAATCAAAGGTACTATTTTTGCTGAAATGAAGTTCCACTAAATCAGACATTTTTCTCCTACCTGTTGCTTCACCATTTTTAAATACAAACACTCTATAAATTACACAAATAAAGAAATCTTTCAACTGTGTACTTTTACTTAAATCTACATTTCCTTCTGTCACAGATAACTTTTAATATTCATGTAGTCTTTTATATTAAATCTGTCCATAACCAAATATTGCACTTTCATGTTTCATAACATTTGCTTATCTCCCTGATAATACCAAGCCTTTAGTCTGCATTACATATTGATATTTAAAGATGTGCAGCTGTCCTTTTACTTTTATAACATCTAAATGTCGTAATTTATGGGGAATATTATGCATGAACTATCTAAGGATTTTGGTTTTGATCATAAAAGCCAAAGGAGCGCATATGAACGTGCATACAAACCTGCAGACAAATCAGAAAACACTCGGTATCTAGCTGTTCACTAAAACATTTGTTATCAAAAGTTTTTTTCAGTGCATTTCAGTATTTATATCTGCATTAGTTAGAAGAAAAAAAACTGGAGCCTTTTTTTTTTGAATCTTTTACCCAACTTCCAAATTTCTTCTTTTCTCATTTACTGCTTCTAATAGGAACTGACTTTTCATAGCTTCCTAAATGCTTTTACAAAGGCACAGCAGGATTAATAGAAAACTTTAGAGAAAAGTGTTTGACATTTGATCACTTCTTTTTAAATACCATTGTTTTTGAAATACTTCATTTTCACTTTAGGCTATCTGCACATGATGTTTAAATGGCTAAAAAAACCTCCACCCCTTTAATATGAAGTTATGGAACAAGAATAGTATACACGTTACTTTAATAAAATATAACTGATTTCATAAAATAATGATAATTGTCAGCTATATGGCATATGCAACTTCATGAAAAAATTATAAAAACAGATATGATTTTATCACTAATCACTCTACTGCCTCAACACAGCAGTAAACTTGACTTGCAATGATTCTATGAGTTTTGACAACACCTGAACACACAAACTTAATTTATTTTCTAATCTAGCTTCAATACCTTTTATGCTGATTTACTTCTCTCAGTCTCAGAAAGGCAAATAAAGGATAAAAAAATGTGCCACTTCTTAAAAACAGGCTGTCATATGAACGGGGAGGGGACATAGATATCAGACAGCATTTTCCTAGTATAAAATAATCCAACTCTATTATCTGTGACCACCTCATAAGGGAGAATAAAGAGCACAAGAAAACACAATATAGTCTCAGTGAAGTAAAGTTTAGAGGATCACAAAGACAAGAATTAAACCAGTGTACCAAAATGATTAATTTGACCTCAAATTCAGATTGGATTCAGAGTAGAGAGTGCAGCATGTTTTTGTGTTATCTCTTCTTAAAGCATACAAAATGTTTTATATGTTCATGTTTAAAAGTGGCAACCATTCACAAGCACATTTCTGAACTTTATTTTAATAACACAAATAAACAGAAGTAAATAATTTTACTGGTACTGCACTTCAAGGTCCAGCTTCATATAAATCTGCTTCGTACATTTCTTTCAGTTTTTCAAGCTTATGTTAAACATTTCTATGCTACATGAACCATTTCCAGCTGAAAAATATTCCACTGAACATATAGCTTCATATAACTGGAAATGAAGAAGACTACAGATTTTCATAGTGTTATAGCAATAATATTACCTTTAGCAATCAGCAGAAACTAAGAGCATGCAAGAAAGAGCAAGAGCTTGTTTATTGGCATTAATTCTTTTTCTAATAACCTGGAAGTAGATAAGTTTTAAAAAACACTAACATATTTTAAGATGTATCAACAATAGTGATTATGATCTTCATTAAAAAAACGCTACAGTATTACTATATTGAGCAAGCATGGCCTCATCAATAGTGCTATTTCAGCCAAAAAGAATACCCAAAAAAGGAAACAAAAGGAAAAAAGCTTTTTTTATTTCTGAAAAAATACCACATAAAACCAACTTACAGACTTCCCCATGAGTTGTTTACTGCTAGGAAATTGTTAGCCTGCAGAAACAGCCTGGTCATGCTGTTTTACAGGTCTGATTTCAAAAACTTTCATCTGCGGTCTAGATTTCATAAACATAGAATAGTCAGAACTGTACTCACTTTACAATTTCACTTAAATTGCATTACAGCTCGAGAGGCAGTTCATCAAAGGACATATTGCAAGGAAACCAGCAGATATGAGAGGGCAAGATAGATGTGTGCAGCATTTATCTTTCTAAACTCTGAAATATCAATTTAAAAAAAAAAAAACTTACAAAAATTATTCTGCTACTGCAGCACTCCACTAATATTTCTCTCACTCATCCAGGGGCTTCTTAAAACAGTAGGTCAGAAATCTACTCCTTTAAGTTCCTAGCTGCGACAAAGGCTTTAAGTAAAACATTAGCAAAGGGTAACAATTCTCTCTTTTGCTATCGGTCTGCTCAGAACAAAGCTCACATACACACCAGCAACTGATGTTACAATAGATACAGAAAACCCACCATGCAAAACACTGAAGCCAAAGGTCTTCATGCTTAAACTTCTAGAGGATGAACTGAAATTTGAAAAAAAACCCAAAACCTACATATTTCCTAGTTCCATATCCGTATCACGGAGGAATTTTACCTAAAGAATTGTTTAAATTCACTTCAGGATCTTGAGACATTCATTTTTTTGTGCTGCATTCAAGAAGTGATGATAGCATAAGATATTAAGTGATTGAAGTTTCTTCATTTTACTATATATAAATGATGTAAATTTTTGATCAACTAATCCAACACATTTTTTTCATATTCCATTCAAAAGAGCCTCATTTCTCTGTATGGCTATTTTGTACCAGTATGCAAATCTGCCTAGCTCAATAAAATTCCAGGATCAAAAGCTAATGAGTTGCATCCAAAATGGTCAAATCTGATATATTTTCAGAGTAATACAAAAGTGGAGGGAAAAGACAAGGAAATACTAAAATTTGCAGTATTTCAATAATAACATTCAAAAGACAACATTAATAAAGGCTAATGAACAGTTGGCAGTCTCTCTTCCCTTTGACATGAATTTCAGTCTTCATGCCAAGTAAAACAAAAGCATCTTATAAATGTTTATTCCTGCTAAAAATCAAACAGTACTTCAAGACTATTTTTGTATGCTTTTACTTTCTCTCAGGACCACACTGCATTACAAATTTCAAGTTCCAACAAAACCAGCCTTACCTCTGTCACTGAAGTCATCCACCAGAATGATCTCTGCGATCAGGCTGTCTGGAGTGCGGTTTATGATGCTGTGGATCGTGCGCAAGAGCGAAGTCCAGCCTTCGTTATGAAACGGGATGATGATGCTAGTGTTTGGTAGTGTTTCCAAATACACCTTGTGCTTACAGCTGCAGAGGCAACAAAACACTTGTATAAGCATATTGAGAATCTGAGTTGGCTTATCCTGTCATCCATTTGGGCCATTCAGCCAACATGGTTTCCAGCATAAAATTCAACAAGCAATACTGCAATCCAGCAGTACTTTCATGTGAAAACTGCTGGATTGTTTAAAACACATTGCTTACAACAGAGAATAAATTTGAGCTATGAAAAAATTTAAGTGGAATGAGTGAAAAAAATATAACTGGCTGGGATTCTTTTCCTTCACTGAAAACTTTTTCCCGCAATATGACAGATGACATATCTCCTATGACATTTCCAAAAATCAAATCCTCTTATCAAAAAGAATGCTGAAGCATAATATAAGGCTAATCTGAAATGATCATTTGGTCTACGAAGAGATAAACACTGGGAAACAATACGTTATTATCCTGGGTGATATGTACTTACAATATGAAAAACAACATCCACACGTACAACTCCAACTTCACAGATCCAAAATGATTGCTCCTATTATGTATTGAGATAAAACAACACACCATTCGGGAAATTCAGACTTATAAACAAGGAAATGTAAACAAGCTTTCATCTTTGAAAGAAAGCACAGTACATTCAACATCTTAATTGCACAGCAGCTATGCAATATCAGTGCTAAAGCTGTTTTCAACATTGAGTTGTTTACACATTTCAGAAAAGAACTGTAAGACTCAAAAATAAATAATGGCCATGCAAATCAGTGTCCCCTAATATCCAAAAGTATTTTATGACAAATGCCTAGATAACTGCAACTGATAGGATTGCATATTTCATGTTTTGTTGAAAAAAAGAAAAAAGGGACACATTCTTCTATTGTTTACAAAGCCTGGCATTTTCACCTCTGGGGACAGAGTAACTGAACAATTTCTCATTCCTCAAAAGAAAGTCACACCCTGATAAAGGTATCCCTAGAGCAGAAACTGTCAGCTTTGCAGTAAACAAACAAAATTAAAAGTTTAGCCCTGTAAATTCTTGGTTTAAAAAAAAAAAGTATAGATATCTTTGCTCTTTGTCAGAAAGCTTAACTATGAATATCAAAAGCTGATATAGGATATAATTTTGATTTACACATATTTGCAGCTTAGTTTGCATTTCCTCTTTATACTTATACTTAGAAATAAATATTTACCAATACACCATACACACCGATGAAACGCTCCATAGAAATAATAAAAACTCACAGCTACTATAGTTGTATTTGCAAAATATTAACTGTTATGTAGCTATAGACTAACTAACTAGTTTTTAGATACTTTTACATCTACAAAGTTAAATTTGTAGTTCAGACTTATCTTCCTAAAATACAGTGAGATGACAAGCCATTTCCTGAAATAATCACTGTAGAAACGTTTTAGTAAGCAGCTTGCTGGTAAAACATATATGAAGACTGGAAAAAGGACAGATGCTTTGCAATAATGTGGAGTTCTGGAGAAAACAGTGCTCATTATCTAGAGACAGAAAAGTCTATATTTAGTCTATATTTAAATGTTTTGTGAGAGAAAGAAAATCTACTGCAGCAAAATAATTTAGTAGAAATACTAATTATCCGTAGGAAGAAGTACAACAAATGAAGCACATTATTAATACATAGTTGTTTCAGTTGGCAAATTAAGAAAGTCATCTACCAAAAGCAACACCTGTTGTTGGCAGCTGTTTGTCAACAGTGATGTTTTTTGGACTAGAAGAAATGCAACTAACAGACATACATGGAACTCTCACACTATTTTTGAAAGCAGAAGTTTTTTCTTCAGCATTTCTGAATCCTGGTAAATATTATTTCAAAACTACTAAGTTTCCACCCAAGCCAAAAACACAAGCAAAAGAACCTTACATATGTCAGACTAACAACTTCAAAAGGGTAAGAGTAAAAAAAATACCCAAAACACCCAAACACATTAAAATGCTATTTCTGTTTTAAAAAGTCACCTCTCCAGTAACAAGATATCTTTTGAAAGCAGTTGTACTGAAATCTGCATGGTTAATATTGTAACCTTATGCATGAAAGGATGGGGCAGGTCGCTGGATTTGGATATTCTCATTGACAGTTTCAGAGTAATCGCATATGCTAAAGTTTTAAGAAGAAGCAACACTGATGGATTTAGTTTAAAACTATTCCTCCTGAACAGATTGATCTAAAACAGAGTCACACTTGGAAGAAGACAGCATCTTGCACTTAACATTTCTCCATCATTCAAGAGACTTTAATTCTCATTTACATTTATTTTTGATTGCTATTGCAAAGGTATCTGGCTATATGCGAATTGATTTATAGTAAGAACCACAAACCACCAAAATGTCCTTTTTCTGCTTTTATCAAAAAACTCTGGCCATATTTCAAATTCATAGAAATGAAACCTTAAATTTCATCATTTTCTGCTAGGTTTCACAGCAGTGCTTTATTTATATTTCTTCAGCAAGTGGAATTCTATTCATTTTCAGCCCCTTGTTCTCTTGACATGAGACTCTAACTGCAACAGAAGATCACCATTTTAAAAATCGTAACATGAAATCCATTTTATTTGAAGTTCTATTAACCAGTGTCCATATCAGAGGGCAGCTAGCTCAGCGCTGTGATGGGCTGCAGGACAGACCTGATGAACAGCTGTAATGCTCAGGAAAGGCCCATGAACTGCAGCAAAGATGCAGTTACACCTCCACAGCTGAGACACTGACATAACATGAGAATAAAGCTATATATTTTCATGAGAATAAACATATATAATGCATGCACCATTTGTTCCAAGTCCACGAGTGTACTGCTTTAATATCCTGAGTTTTAGAAGAGATGCCAAATACCCTGGCTGCAAAAAAACTACTTGAAAGCTACAGACATCGCTTCTTGTTTTAAAAGGGAAATTCTTGAGTCTCCAAAGAAATGAGAAATTGCAGTTCAAGATTCTTTAATACTTCCTGAAGAACACAATCTTACCAAAAGTTACTAAAATAAAAAATAAAGCAAGGTTTGCTGGAGAAAGGAAAATTGTTATGTATAGAAGATTACCAATTATGTAAAACTGTCTAAATTATGGCATACATGTTAAATGAAACTGACTACCTACAGAAATACTTAAAATACTACTGAGCAAAATAATATTTTTCCCAGAGCCTAAAAATTTTGGTGGAAAATCCAGTCAAACTTGTATCAATTTAGCAAATTATAGTACTTGCACACAAACTCCAATTGTCATCCTCCACATAAAGACACTGACAATTACTTGCACACTAAGTGAATGTAGGCTTTATATGCACAGTAAGTATTATTTAGGTTGTTTGAATGGCAGAACAAAGTGCTCAAAGTGAAAGTGAAAATCAGTGCACACTGATTTTCATTGAGGCTTGAAATAGTAGAAAATCCATAGAGGCCTGGAAATAAATCCTAAAATCAATACTGAAAAAAGGTTAGTAGATTTAAGATGGACAGATAGGCAGCTCAGCCAGTTTCAGTGAAGTAAGGGTTTGCTCCAAGACATAACTCAGCATAGAAAAGATTGCAATGTAGCTGATGTCAATCAACACTACTTTAAGCCTGCCTCTTAATTATGAAATCATAGTTCAACTGATAAAGGCAAATATATTACTGTAGAGCTTTAGTGTCACATCATATCCTGATTAAGAAGTTAAAAAAAGAAAAAAAAAATATCAGTGGGAAATTGAAAAATGGATACAAATATGAGGTCTTTGAAAATAATTTTAATAGGAATGTATTATGTGCTATTTTTAGCTTGTTTCTATCAGGACTAGTTTTTGCCTTAGTGGCACTTTAAACTGGATTAACTTTTAAAATAGCATATGAAAACTCTGCACAAAGAAGACTGATTTGAATGGCAAATGAAGATGAAGACAGGTTATTTGACTCTGTTAACTCATTCCATATATATTATAAAATGTCTCATTTTTATGAGATATATATTAATATAAACATACACGAAGTTTCAGAAGAAAAATTTGCCATGATATTTTACAATTTTGGGATTGAAGTCAGAAAACTAAATCAGGCTACCTGAAATTAGTATATCAAACTGATTTTTCACTTTGGCTTTGATCACTGTAATTTCCATGAAAGTGTTTTCTGTAATCAGCCATGGCTACGTATATATGCTCATCATTCCCATACTGGTAAGAGGATAAATACTTAAGGATGCTAAGAGCACATTATTTGACTAGTCTTCCACTATCTTCATTATATTTCTCCTCACTTTTATCCTTACCTCCATACCTGTGTTCCTTCAGATAACCAAATAGCTCAGTCCGGCATTATTTTTAATGTTTAGTGTTTGAGTAACCACTCATTTTGCTCAGAAACCTCGCACTGCATCTTCCTCAGCTTACCTTGTGCAGCTACAGGACTAATGCAGCTTCCTCATTAGTGGCTGGTAAGTGATTGTTTACAGAACTGGAGGCTTAAGTGCTCGGGGTTTGATGCTGTCTTCCACAAATCATTCCAAGAAATCCTGATCAGTCAGCTTAGCTCACATCTATGCTGGTATCTCTAGGCATGGGCCACACTACACCATCAGCACCCAGTGCAGTGTAGCAGTAAACATCTGCACATCCTGCAGCTCATCCTAACTGAATAGACCCAGGCCTCCAGTCTTCTCCAGAGGGTGAATTTGGGATTTTTCCTAGCTCTACAGACTGCCAGACTAGGCTGGTGAATATAAACAGCTTGCCCATTTCACAGCCAGGACTGGAATCCAGCGACGTATGGGCATGTTATCTCTTGTCCTTTCACCACGCACTCTCAGCAAATGCAAGTAACTTGCCAACTCTTAAGAGCTTTAAAAGACAGTGGCCTTCAGTGTTTAGGACAATGCTGCCTGATCATCTTCATCTTATGAAATCCCTTAGCAATACTTTCCTTATTGGAGACTGGGAATCCATCGTATGGCCAAGTTCACCTCCACTATTGCTGAGTGACACCTTTGGCCACACAAAAAAAGGAAAAAAACCAGCTCATCATTATTCCATGCAG